GGTGGGACTCCTCCAGGGACGTTCAGAGTTGGCACGGGAGGTGGAGGAGGTGGTGGTGGTGGTGCTGCCTGGCCGGAAGCGCCGCTTTTGATTTGCCTGAGCGCTTCTTGCGCATCAATACCAGACTCCTGGTTCCAGGTGAGTCCTTTGGGATAATGTTTCTTCAGGTACGCAGCTAGCGACTTGAAAATCTGGTAGTAGGCTTGGATGTACTGAACGTGAGTCTGGTCCCTGTTGCAAAGTCAGCAATTCACGGATTGATTAGACTAGCCCACAGTGGAATTCGTACTTCTCCTTATACTCCTTCAACACCTTGTTACCATAATACTGGATGCCTCCGACAATCTCGCTGACGAAATCAGCAGGCTTAGACTCGAAGAACCAGCCCAGAGCAACAATGCCTTCCGCAACAGCGCTAAGGTGATTAAAGAGAGGGGAGGCTCTGTTCGACTCGCGGAGGTTATTGATGGTATCAGAAGCGTTATGGAGCTCAGTCATAAGCTCCGGTGGCTGAGGTTCGGGCTTTCTCGCCTTTGTCGAGACGTAAAGGTAGGTGCGCTCGGCCTCGAAAGCTTGAAGTACAGCCCTGGACTGTCGAAGAAGTTAGATAGGCGGACACATACGAAGAAAGCCTTAAGCTCGAGTTGCTCACCTGCTCTGCCACAAGACCACCAATCTTCTCGCCGAGATCCACGAAGCTTCGAACATCCCCATTGATCAATGCATCGAAGTCTTCTATTTGGGGCGGAAGCGAAGGGGCCGCGGGAGGCGCTGGCGGAGCAACTGTATTCACCGGTGTAGGCGCTGCAGGTTCAGGAGTAGCTGCACTTCCGACGTGTTTCGGCGAGTGAGGGTCATCCAGCGACATAGCCATGTCCTCCAGACGGGAGGTCGCGGCTTCCAGCCTGTCGACAAGTATACATTGTCAGTGAAATGGAATATGCAAACCAATGCGACGATGAATCAAATCATGGGGGATTTAGCTGAAGCTTATTGCTCAAGCTTCGGAGACTTTCTTCAGGTACATACCGCTTGATAAGAGTAGTCAGATTATGCATATGGTTGCTGGTTGCCATCTTGAAGACCAAACCCCTGGCGAAGCAAGGACAACGAAACTAGGAAGAACAACTCTGGGTTCCAAGGGTCTAATTCTCTGATACCCTTACTTTGGCTGAATTCAAGGAATACGACGAGCATAAGACGGAAGGCGAGTAACTTCAACCTCTAAGCTACCACCTGGGAATGCCTGATTCCTGCAACGGTGTCGGGTTCCAGAGTCCAGACGATGATGAGACGCTCTTGACCCGTTTGTTCCTTGAGGCCGCAAGCTCCACTGTGTGGGGCTTTACAGTACAGTACACGTATAATCAAAGAGTTGCACAGTTGAACATGACGTTGTGTGTACCAATCTGTATCAAATTTACCAACTCATCAATTAAGGTAGGTACGGTATCCTTATCACTCAGCTCTCCTCTGATTCCCCCGCTGAGGATGAGCGACGTACCTAGGTAGTACCTGCAGTTCGACTTCTGTCTGGATTACTGATAGGTGTTGAGCTCAATTTTCAGTCACAATACAGAATATGAGGCCGGATAGTCAAGTCGAGGGCAATGTCGAGTTCTGCACTCTGGGCATGTTCATCCTCGGTATGCTATCATTGCACGGTCATTGCCGGACAAATCGCTGCAGCACATCAAATACTTACTCACATACCTAGATGATATCGACTTTGGAGGATCTAGACCCAATGTGAAAAATATCATTGGTGGTGCAGCCTCTTATGCTGTAGTCGGTGCCCGCCTTGTCGCTGGGAAGGAACATTCGAGCTCCGTAAGCTGGATTGTGGACGTTGGCTCAGATTTTCCTACCGAAGCTCTAGGCATCATCAAGGCATGGAATACCCATTGCGTTATCAGAGAGGATCCTGGAAGACTGACCACTAGGGCATGGAATGGATATGGGCCGAATGAAAAGCGAGGTCGGTATATTCTCTCGTTCTGCAACCGTCGTGCTGTTAAGAAATGATAGATGATGATAAATCGGAACAGATTTCAAGTATCTGACGCCCAAATTGCGACTTGAGCCTTCAATGCTCTCCGACTCGCAGGTTTTCTCAAAGACATTCCACATGGTCTGCTCTTCTTCTCGTTGCCTTACCATTGTCGAAGATATAATGCGCAGACGTGACGATTTGCGGAAGGAGGGCAAGGCCCCTTCCGCCATTGGCGCCACGGGCAGACCGATCTTCATCTGGGAGCCTGTACCTGATCTATGTACACCGGAGGAACAGGATAAATTCTTGGCAGCAACCCGAGTCGTCGATGTGGTCAGTCCCAACGAGCTGGAGCTGGGCATGATGTTCGGCCAGCCTGGATGGACCGAGGATAGCGATTTTGGTCGTGATGTCGTTACAAGGATCCTCAGGTCAGGCATCGGGCCTGAAGGCGAAGGGCATTTGGTGATTAGAGCAGGGAAAGACGGTAGCTACACATATTCAAGGACACAGAGGATATGGCTCCCCGCCTACCATCAGCCTGGCACTTCTGGGGCTACAGCTATCGTGGATCCTACGGGAGCTGGTAATTCGTTTCTGGGGGCTTTGGCACAAGGCCTTATCAGTTCTGAAAGAGATCAGGCCCAAGTCATTACCTCCGTGCTTTCGGAGTGTGGAAATTGGCAGAGTATCACCAAGACATCGGCAAAGCACAGAGATATGCTGGTAGCCTTGATATGCGCCACTGTCGCTGCAAGCTTTGTGGTGGAACAGATTGGCGTGCCTCGTATAACAATCTCAAGCGAGGGGAAGGAACTGTGGAATGGAACTGAATTTACGGAACGAGTCCGTCTGTACACGCAGAGATTGTATCGAACACTCGAAGAGTCTCCCCAGAAGCACTTTCGGAACAACTGACCGATCGGAGAACGCCCTTCTATTGTCGTACAGCCCGCAATTAGATGAAACAAAGACAAATCATGCTATAGAACTCTTCCATCGTTTCCACTTCTCTTCCCACCATCGCGCTTTTATTGCTTGGTAGCTTGCTGCTTCTCGTGTTCAATGATTTGCTTGCTCCAGCTGGTAGAAGAAATGTATTATCAGCATGCGATTGCCACATAATGGGAAAGGGAAGGGTGGTCCACTCACTAGCGACTGGGGAAGAATCTGCCGGGCTCTGGCATTCTGTCCCGATGTTCACGCTCGGCACTGATGCTCCAGGTAACTGCGACAACACCAAGGATAGCAGCGCCCATGATAGCAGTGTTGACTCTCCAGTTTGCAGGCTGAGCATACCAGCCTCCAGCTGGAGACCAGACTTCCTTGGGGTACCTGCGATGTGGATGAGTTAGCCCACTGTAGCAACATCTTACCGCATCACGGTAGACTCAGGCACCTACGGTATCTTTCCGCCTCCACCCATCTTGCCTGTAGAGAGATAAATGAATGGACGAAAGGACGGTTTGACAATGGCTGGCGGGAAAAGCGCTTTATTCAGGCGGGTTGAAACGGACTTCGACCATCGACGTCCCTCATCCAGAGAACCCATGACGCTAGCACCAAAAATGACTTAGCGCCAGCACACGATCACCGGATCCCGTGACTTCCGCTGAGCCCAACTTTTCTCCAGCGATCAAAAGTTCGCATACCCGATATACTTGAGCATTCTGGATTTCCCCATATCCCTGCACCACATTTTTCCGGACGGTCATACTTTTTTTCTCGGTCTCTCTTGGCTCAAGCCCCTCGGGGATAACACATTTGTCCAGATGAAAAGGCTGCAGCTCCTTCGATGGAGCAGTTCGGTCCTTTCACCACGGGCACGAACCAACGGCCGCCTGCACCAACGTCTCTGTGCTAATTTACGGTATCAGTCGACATCTTCGCCTGTTCTTGGAGCCGAAGAACACCGAATGATTGAAGAGCAACCTTTGCATTCACCAATTCCTCCCTCCAACTCACGACAGTCGAGATACCTCCTCCCTTCTCCGCCGGTTGAAGCCGCACGCGAGTCCGCAAAACTTGCCGCGCTCCATGCACGACTCTACCTCCCTTCGCGATTACCCCTCGAAACACTAGCACGTTCGCTGGTGGACTCGTCAGCGGATCCGAATCCAGATTTCAACAATGAATCGTTGGCTACGTTGGGCCATGACCTCCTCACGAATTACACCTCTGAACACCTCATATGCACATATCCCCGACTTCCCCTGACCGTGATCTTTGCGGCCATGTATGCGTATGTCGGACCAAAAACGCTTGCCGCAATGGCTAGGGAATGGGGTGTCGAGATGGCTGTCGCCCCTGGAGGAGAGGTCGACCCTGGCCTTCTGCAGTTCAAGAGGGTCTCTCCTGGCATGGACATTAATGCGGAACCAGTCACCGGTACAGCAAGGCCCAACGAGCATCGGAAGTCATGGAGGAAGTCGGTGACATCTAGAATTGTCTACGATAACGAATTCGGCGATCCGGTCAAAGAAGTCGCCGACTTAGCGGCCCAGACTGTCGCTGAATCCCAGAATGCTCAAGGCGTCACGGCCGAACAAGCCAGTGCGACTTTTGTGCGCGCCGTCATGGGCGCCATCTATCTGCATGCTGGCCGCCCTGCTGCCAAGCGTTTCTTTGAGCAGCATATCCTGTCACGACACCTCAACATCTCCGAGTTGTTCAATTTCTCCCAGCCAGCTCGTGACCTCACCCGGTTGTGTGCGCGAGAGAACTTCGAACCCCCTGTCGCCAAGATCATCAGTGAAACTGGTCGTAAGAGCAGACACCCTGTCTTTGTTGTCGGTATCTACTCTGGTCAGGATAAGTTGGGCGAAGGCGCTGGCGCCAGTCTGATGGAGGCCCGGTCGAGGGCTGCTGTGGCCGCCCTCAAGGGCTGGTATTTGTACAGCCCACTGAATGTTCGTGTGCCCAGCTCGATGGAAGAAGAGGGCGCTGCGCCCTGGAAGCCCGTCCATGTCGACTTGGGTGAGGTGATTGTGTAAGATAAATTGGAAAACGATCCGATGCCAATGTCGCGATGGTGATGTATTATTTTGACATAAATGACTGTTCAAGGGACAGTTCGACAAAGGAACTTCTACTTACTATTTGTTTACAAGATCAGGTGTTGTACAGTACGGGCAATCTATTCTATTCGTTCCATGTCTTTCCTATTTTGTTTATTTCTCTTCATGTTGTGCCGTTGTTTTGGTCAAATCTCCCGATTCTTTCTTCTCCTCCAGGGATTGGACATCGGAACAGAATGTGGGTAGGAAATGGATACTTACATTAGGAGGTATCGGTGTATAGAAGTCCAATAGACTCAGTCTGAAATATTACTGAATAGAAATCAAGACATCAGTAGTACTACTATTCCTTTCCCGCGGCAGGACGTTGAGAATGTATCTTTCTAGCGGGCAGCGCTTGATAGTAGCACAGATCATGTTACTCGGGATTGATGATCTCGTCCTCCCAGTTACCACTATTCCTAGAGCGATCCAAATATTCGCCATATTCTTCCCAAAGCTGCGAAATACCCGTTCCGAACAGCCCCCTCCAGAAGCTCTGTGTGTCTTGATTTCCAGACTCCGACTCCTCGCCTACATATCCGACCCGCAGCAGTCGGTCGTTTAGCATGCCAACAGCGCCTTTCCCGACCCGCACATCCTCCAACCACGCCAGAAAGTACGCCGTGTGTTGATAGCCCTCGTCCCACTTCGACGGTCGTTCCTTGGCAGATGCTGGTCGCCTCCAATGCGGAGGCTCGAGGCCCGCCTTCAGACGAACAAAATCGGCAATACCTTCAATCAAACCACCCGGGGGACGAGGCACGGAGGCATGCTCATCTCCCTTCGGCGCGGTATGCTGGTAGCAATGGACCAGCTCATGGGTCAAGACGCCGGTGATTTCGGCAGTGGGGTCTGGATGTTCTTCCGCGCTGGACTTGATGTATGATAGAGACAAGTGGATTTCCTTATGGTCATCGTCGAGCTCTATGCCGGTGGTGTACGCTACTCCGCCGATATCGCGGAGGAGGACCGTCACGGAGCGTGTGGGAGGGATACATGGTGTGAAAGACGGTCTGGGATATTGCTTAGCTGGGCTAGTGCTCGACTTGTTTGGTGGTGTATAGAGGTGCCGTACAATGGCATTCAACGCGGTTTCGAGGGTCGATGCCACATCGGGGACCAGGGAAATGAACGATAGCGTAGCCGGATGGCGTAGATCGTTAATGTGTAGACGGAATTTGGGTCTGGGAAGCTCTGGCACTGGCTTTGGCGATATTTCGCCTGATGTTGTTCGGCCTTGGCTTGATTGGGGTTCATTGGGTCGAGGGATGGTTTTGGGGATTGCGGAGGGGAGCGGGCTTGTCGAAGATGTCATCACGGCTGCCTCTCTGAATCATGGCAGAGATTATTTGAGAGGTGCGACGAAATTGTGGGTTGTCCTAGCTCCTATCGTCCAGAAAATAACGACAGCTTACATGTGGAACTCGATGCATGTCTGGACATAGAGATAAGATTCATTACGCAGAGCTGAGACACTGACGTTTAGCCGCAGATGCCATGAGCTCGGGTACGCAGGATATACTTGCACTGTTAAGGCGCAAGTATGCAAAATGTAGGTACAGGTTTAGTACCTATACACCTTACCTATTTGGTCTTCAACAGTAACGAGGTTCATGCAAACAAGACTACCAATCAACTCCACAAGTTATCTATTTGCAACCATCCTTGACAAACAACCCTCAACTCTTAAGTCGGCAATCTCAGTCTCCGCATGTTCTTGGTCCAAGTGTCTGATGTCTGATTGAAAAGATCCACCTGTTGGAGGGGCGATCGCGCGGAGTCAAGTACGACTCGGACATGGCGTCGAGTGATCTGCTAGGAGTATCACTTGTGGGCTTAACAAATTACTGAGTCAATCAGGAATATCATTTAATACTATAAAATATGTTTTACAGATTCATTATTGTGCTTGTTCATGTATTGAGTAGGTATGTAGAACGAATTCACATTGTAGGCTGATCCTTCACTGCGCCTTGTGTGGATATATATCTGCACTAGACTGGGAGGGGCTACTTGTTGACATAGCACATTTCCGTTTCTGCGACACGAAAAAAAATCCCTAGCTCACCCCTTTCCTCCTCCTTTCCGTTTATCTTATCAGCTACACATTACCTACACTCAATCCACCTCATTAATTGAGAATCGCATTCACACATTATCCCAGGTATGTTCAATCCTCGCCCGAACCAAAGCAGTTGGGCAGCATCGGCTCACCAAAAGCAGATTGTGTTTTCCCCCACTCGGTCTCCCTCGCTGTGACCATGGCTCCTGCGACCATCGGGTAAACAAAGCGAAAAAAGGCAACAAGACCAAGTTATTCCCTCGCAACAAGTGTGCTCCGCTACTCCTGTTACTCCCTGCAGCGACATCTATCCTATAATTGCCCGGCGGACATTATTTCCATTGCGAATATTCTTCATCACATTAGACTCTCACTGTCTGCCGTGGAAGACTTTGGAAGCGCTTATCGCCGCGTCTAATCGCTTATCGGACATCTCCTCTGTCCATCGCCTCTTTCCATATCCAACTTCACCTCTCCAACTTTACCTTTCCCTCCAACCGTCCTTTCTCATCGCCAGCGGTGCCTCAGTGCTTTCCGTCGGAACTCATTGACAGTGGCCTCGACCTCGCGACTGCCTCTCCTACAGCCAGGTATGTGCACTTTCCTTCGTCGTCGTCTTATTGACAGTATATCTTCCTCGCACTCGATCGCCCACCCTTTCTTTCTCTTCCCCATCACAGTTATCTTGTTCCACAGCGATTCCACAGCGATTCAACGGCGAACTCACTGCGATTCAACTCTTCTCAAACATTACGTTTTCATTCCAAAGCTCTCTATTTCAGAAGCTCTGAAACTTGTCGGCTAATCATTCATCATGGAGTCTTGCAGAATAGTGCCCGCTGGTTTCTTGAAACCATCTGCCTGGGACCGTATTACGCTTGCATTGGTCCTTACTCTACTGATTTCCTGTAGCCCTCACAAGTTCCTGTGCTACCTCTTTACCTTCTGTTACCTCTATGTTCCTCTTGTTTTGACCCAAGCGGAGGCCAAAAATTTCATTTCCAGGATGGAGTTCAAGGCGGCGGAGTTGGTGGCGGCTTTGAAGAATTCCAATATGTCGATCGATACCAAGGTTGCCCATCTCCAATGCGTCAAATCCGACATCAAGCAGAAAAATGTCCCGGAGGGGGCAATCCCGTCGATTTTTGAGTCCATACGCCTGGCAATTTCGTCTCAACACTCGTCTCTGTCCGGAGCCGGTTTCTCCACGCTTGGCCACTTTCTGAAGCGGCTACTCATTCAGGAGCTGCATCATTTGGTCGCGCTTCAATGTCGTGCTTTGTATCCTTTGCTTGTAGAGCGTCTAGGAGACCATAAAGAACGTATCCGTGCTCAAGCTGCGCAATCATTTACCGATATGTGGCTGGCAGCCCCCGAAGAAGTTGAGCAATGTGTTCTTGGACAGGCGCTCGTTGGCAGAAACCCAAGAGCCAAAGAAATGAGTATGATCTGGCTGTCGAACGTGAGTCCCCCTTTCAATCTTCATGGCTTTTCCTCATCATTCTGACCATTGCCTCGCAGATGACTAAGAACTATGGTCTTTTGTTTCGCTCGTATGTGTCGAGTCTCGTTGCGTGCCTGGAGGATGCAGACAGCAATGTGAGAAATACGGCCAAGAACACTGTTATTGAATTGTTTGAGTCCGTGGCCCTCTGATTGCATTATTTTCAAATGTCTTTTTCCCATTACTAACAGTAATTAGACACGCCTCTGAACGAGCCAAGGCCGATTTGAGAAGACAAATGGCTGCACACAATGTTAGAAAATCCTTTGTGAATGCAATTCTCGCAAGCATCGAACCCGGTACTTCCGATATGGATATGGCCTCACGACCTGTTTCACGAGCTGAAGCTCTTGTTCATCGTCCTGTATCTCGTGCGGAAACACAATCATCCAGATCAGTTTCCCGCCTGGACAATGCCCATCAACGACCAGCTTCCAGAACGGAGCTCCCACAGCCCTCTGTTTCGTACACGGAGCCTTTGCCTCCTCGGCCAGTCTCGGTATTGTCTTCTCGTTCTGAGAATCAGAAGGAAGTTACCAAGGAAGGTGAGTTTGGTCATCTCGTCTCACCGCAATTAACCGCGTTTGATCCTGACTCTCCTGTGCCATTTCTCAGTCATTGTAATGGAGCGCCCCAAGAGCCGTCTTACTACTGTAAAGAGCGAGCCAAACTGGGCTGTCGCCTCTCACACGGGCCCTGCTGAGGGGTTGCCTCTACCAAATTCTCGGCCTGCTTCACAAGAAGGTGAAAAGGTCGAAGCCCTTTATGTTTCATCGTCAAGACAAGTCGATGAAATGTTTCGCGACATGATGCCGCACTTCGAAGGTCGGGAGTCTGAGGACAACTGGATCCGCCGCGAAAAAGATGTTCTCACCCTCAGGCGCCTCACCCATGGCAACGCGCCGGACGATTACTCGCCAGCCTATCTTGCCGGTTTGAAGACCATGTTGGATGGCATCTTCAAAGTTGTCAATTCTCTTCGTACGACTCTCTCAACCATCGGATGCCTTCTGATACAAGATATTGCGAAGAGATGCGGTCCTCGGATCGACTCCATGGTCGAAATCATGATGCAAAACCTGATCAAGCTTTGTGGCGGCATGAAGAAGATTAGTGCCCAAAACGGTAACGCCACGGTCGATGCTCTGATCGAAAATGTCACTTTCACCACGCGTATTCTGCAGCACGTTTCCGGAGCTTGTCAGGATAAGAATGTCCAGCTTCGCCTTTTTGCGGCCGGTTGGCTTAAAACCTTGATTCAAAAGCAAAGTCATCATAAGAGTTCGATTGAACATGGCGGAGGTTTGGATATGATTGAAAAAAGTGTCAAGAAATGCCTTGCCGACGCCAACCCTGGTGTGAGAGAGGCGATGCGTGGTACTTTCTGGTCGTATTACCGAGTGTGGCCCAACAGAGCCAATGAGTAAGTGTCCCTCTGTCTTGCATCGTGTACTATACAATGACTAACCGCGAAAAGTATTCTCTCCAATCTTGATCCCAAATCCCGTTCTTTGTTAGAAAAGGACCCAGCCAACCCCAATGCGCACCAACCTCCCCCAAAGGATTCTGCTCCCTCGCGCAAGGGCCTGGCAAGCAGTACATCCTCCCTCGCAGGTCGCTCTGCTCTGAAGGAAGCGATTGCCGCACACAAAAAAGCTCGGCTTGCACCAGCGAAAGCCGCGCCACCTCCTCGCCCGGAATCCGCACAGTCGGCTTTGTCCGACAAACATTCTTCGGCTCCGTCCTCTTCCAAATCATCTGTTCGGACAGTGCCAACAGGCACCGCTTTATCTTCGCTCTCCTCTGCGCCCATGCGACCGGCGGCGAAACCTCGCCGACCTGAACTGAATCGTCCCGCAACTGCGGACCCATATGCTGCACGTCGGTCTGTCGCAACCGACTCCAGCACAAAACACGGCAATCGGATTGGCGGCTCTCCAAGCGCAATCAAGTCAAAATCTTCCACACCATCCTCGAAATCAGTTAGCAGCACTGGGTCTCGTGACAGGACGGACCCTGTTGGCACAACCAGAGATCGGCCTAAACGACTTGTCATCTCTAAGACGCGATCCCACGACGCGCATACCAGACAGCCTTCAAAACCAATACCCACTCGTTCGAGAAACAATTCGAATGAGAGCATCCCCCGTCAGTCTCCGCTCCGTAGCGAGTTTTCTGTCGCTGTGGGAACCCCACGTTCACCGAACAGTGTCTCACTCGGGACACCTTCTACACCTCGCACGCAGCTCACCCAGGGTTCAGGCAATTTCGATGAAATTGCTATCACATCCCCAACCACACAGATACACCATACACCTGCTGAACCGGTGTCCAATCCGGGCGATTCCCGAGAACATGCAGCAAAAGCGACACCGGTAGCTATCTTCGAAGATAACACCCCAGCCAGATCAGACCACGGCGAGATTCATGATGCAGCAATGACACTGACCGAAAATCAAACCCCTCAACCCTCCAAGGTACATTCTGAATCCCCAATTGTCTCGAACAAGAGGGTAAGCATTCAGGATGAATTGGCCCCGCATCTACTTACTGGTTCGGGATTTCTGACTGGAGCAGGTTCTGTCCTTGAAGCATCGGAACTGCCGAATTCCGACGCTCAAACGGATCAGAGCCTCTTCGCGGACCCTCCCTTGCCAGTAACTCATCATCCCGACCCAGTCGCAGATTCTTCGAAACCGTCCGAACTACTGTCTTCTCTGTTGGCGACTGGGTCTCCATTATGGACGGCCAACAATGAAAATGCTATTGTTATCGACTCCAAAACAACCAACGTATCTTTACCACATCGATCTCCGCCCAAGCACAATGTCCTCGGAGAACTTACCTCGAATGAGCCCTCGCATCGGGCCAACAAGCAAGTTCGACATGCTGCGAACAAACTTGAAGATGAAACAACGACACCTATTGACGACCCTTCTCGCCGTCGCTGGAAGAAGGTTGAGACAGCGGAGCGACGAACGAGTGTTAGCCCACGTTCCAAGGATCCCACCAAGGCCCGAGAGATGCTCGACAAGGGCATTCAACGTATTCGCACCAAGACTATGGATATTCTTGGATATCGCAAGCTTCAAGGACTTATCAAATACCATGATTCTATTTTTACTGACGAGGAGAAATACGACGAAATGTTGTTGGCGCTGTTCGACGAACTGGAAAGTTCGCCTGACGAGAAGAGGCAACCCCTCGGCCGACCGCTGGATCTGAAGACTCAGGTTCTTCTCACGATTCGATTTATGTTTACTCACAACAAACTTTACTTCTCGGCGTACTGTCCCAAGGCTCTGGGTGCTTTGGTGCTCGCTCGCAAGTATTATGATGCCAATTGTCATATCGTGAGCGGGTTAGAGGAGACGGCCGATGATATCATTACTGTTTGCGAGCCTGCTGATGTTATTGATTCTGTTTTGGATGTTATCATTACGGAGGAGAAAGATGATCGGGAGTATCGGTCGATCCTCATGGGGGTTAGTATGTTGACTCGGATTCTCAATCGTCTGAATGCCGACAAGTCTCGCGTACCGGACCTGGTCTTGGAGCGTCTCGGACAGTTCGCTGCCAGCAAGTTAGCGGATCGCCAACCCGATGTGAGGAGGCTTGCTGTTCAATTATGTGTGCAATTACACGGAATGATCGCCAACGAGGAGGAATTCTGGCGAGTATTAGGAAACCCTCGGGAAAATTCCCGAAACCTGTTGACTTATTATATCTTTAAGAAGTGAGGAAACACTGTATTTATCACTAACAACATCACTATCATCATCATTACACTGCATGGCTTTACCGTTGCACGTTTAGACCTTACTCATCGCATCATTAGCACATACTGACTGCAGGTCATCGGTTGGATGGTCGATCTCTGCTCTATCGCCTCACTTCCCTGGAGCTCAAGAGACGAGGAACACTGGGCCGAGCGTAACATCTCCTAGCTATCCATTAGATTCGTAGTCGCGCAGTCGGGATCCTGGACTCGTCGATCAGTAAGCTGTTGCTCCTTCTTTCGATCCCTCTCTTGCCCGCCCCTTTAATGTCTTTCTGATTTTCTCTTCCTCAATTCCCCTAATTCCCAACTATTTACAACGTAGTTTCTTTCATATTCTCCCGATCGCTATGTGATAGCACGTGCTTTCCTAACTCAATGCTATCCTACTCTTGTGGATTAGTCTGTCAGAAACGAAGTCTGAGAGACGTCGGAATGTACTCAGGGTAAGTTGGTCGTGGACTGATGGGCTGACTGGTCAAAATTTGTGTATCTCATGTCTCATGAATGCCAAGAGGTCCTGTTCTGCTACACCGTGAATGTGTCCCAGCGGAGCATTTAGGTCCTGATTTCTCCTCCGCTTCTCTTCGTTCTGTGCCTTCCTTCTTCCATTCCTGACCTTCCGCTGTCAGCCAGGCTGTATCAGCACACTGGATGTGAACACATTACAGGGAATTTTCAGGACTGAAAATGCAAGGACGCTGAATCACGCAAAGGCTGCGGCCAGTCAGTAAAATGACGCGATAAGCATGGATGAACAGAGTACTGCATGCTACAAGATGGCCAGCGGCTCTGAAGACGAGAGAGGCCTTCTTAGTCCACCTCAACTGAGTACGAACGGATACGGACTCAAGCACAGCGGGCATTCAGTAGTGTGTAACTGAGGTACCTAGTCCCCATGGACAGACTTTCGTAAAGGGGTCGTTTGCGCATCCAATGAGATAATGCCGGTCAATCTGATTAGATGATGATCAGATTAGATCACAGTTGAAGCAGCACAAATTGCACACAGTACACCTTGCTTAAGTCTTCACTGTTGACTCATTCCAGTGGATTAAACGGGGTCATCATGGAATGATGGAACGACTACATGGTTGTTATTGTGATTTTCCAACCATGTGGAGTTTCTGGAGAATCGAGTGTGGTTTTGGTCAGGGGCAGAGAAGTAATCCTGCTCGTTACTTGACTACTACGTAATGACCGGCTCGTATGAGGAAATTGAGCACTCCACGAGCGACTTAAATCTATATTTTTCTACTTGGGGACATGGATTGCTCTTACATGCGCTCGTATTCAAAATATGGGAGAAGATGGTTGATCATCAGCAGTTGAGATATGAGGTGGCGACGGTCTTGGCGTCAGAAAGTGAAATTATCAATCGATCAGATTAGATAAACGAACATAGAACTCAAAAGGGAGAAGAGAAGAACATAGCAGTACGGAGTACAGAGTACACTACTAGAAGCTATCGGATTATAAGCCCCCCTTTTTTTCTATTTCCTTCAATTTCTATTGACCTTCTAGAATATGATGATGATCACCGAACTGCCTAGTCTTAGGCAGTCCGTAGGTTGTCCCAGACCTCAAAGCCGACCGGAACCTTGGGGGAGAAAGTCTGGTGATTCATTCTCATAGTCCTACGTAAGCAATTAAATCACTGTAGTATTTAGTTTTGTGCCAGTCGAAGAAACCGCTGCTTTATAGACCCAATTGTCTTGAGTTTTCAGCTTCTACTGAAAAAGTCGGCTTGTTACGGGCTTACAATTACAGCCCAATAGTGGAAAAACCTGCCGGTGCAACTGCGACCTTGCATGCAGGGTGCAGAAAAATCCCGAAGGACTGGACAAAAAGGCAGATGAGAGACTGAAACATTATGACAGTGGACCAGCAGTTCCGAGGATCGTCGTTGTTGATCAATGATCATTGGTAACTAGAGAGGTACTAGTTGTATTTGCGAACAGAGTTATCAGATGAGATATTTTCGACCACAGTGTCCCATGCCAAGAGACATGAGTTTGTGAATAGGACTTGGCAATTACGGCATGGAATTTGTGTCTGTATCTTCTTCATTTGTTTCCTTGTCGATTTATGCGGTCAACAGTGGATGTATTTTTTTTTTATAATATCTGTGTTCAATCAACTCGAATTGGTCATATTCCTGCTTGCATTATGTTGTACGGAGTGCCCGTGGTCTCACGGTCTCACCTCGGTTAGAGGTACAGGAAAATAATCAGATTGATAAGTTCCGATTGTTAAGCACACTTTTCCCAAACAGGCTGGTGGAGTCCAAACGAAGGAAGTACCTACACGCTGCTCCACCACTGGGTCTCTTTGTGTCTTGCGTCTCTCTCACTGGCTACGCTCATGTCCGTCCATCCACCATCTTTGCCCTTCCACCTGTTGTTTTCTGCAGCAATTTGTGCTCTTCTCAAAGTCATGCCTCACAAGGCACTGACCTCAACGAGTCTACTTTCTAGTCCCCTGTCGCTGCGGCCAAAGTGGGGTTTCCTTCTCCTGGCTTTCTCTCATCGCCTCTCGTCCTTCCGTTAGCTTCTTCTTCCTTCCTGGACTCCTCCACTCTGATGCACAACGGGACCCTCTTTCTTCGTCCTTCCTGGTCTCTTGGGCCATGGCGTCAACGGGACCTGAAGACCAAATCTTTAATCAGCGCCGCAACCGGAGCCATCGCCATGGGAGGATTTCCCCTCTCCTTTTTAGTGTGCCGCCCCGTATGATGGATTAGCAAGTGGTCCCTCATCAATTTGCTCTTTCTCTTCTTCCTCTTCTCTGGTATAGTCTCCTTGTCTTTTTACTTTCCCTCCAGCAATCTCTCGTAACGCTGTTGCGTTCAGTCACCAGTTCTTAAGACGACGCTTCGTCCCCAAGCTCAGTGTTGTCCTGTCGATGTTGAGATGCTCCTAAAATGTCTGTTTGACCCAAGCAATTTACCAGGTTTACCAGTGAGAACTGGCCTTCTCTGGGAGCTCTAGCTTGTCAGTCAAGGCTTTTCTCGTTGAGCCGAAGCGGACGAGCATATCCTTCGGACGTTTCCTACAATGCTGGGCCATTGAAAAGCAACTTCGAATCAGTTTATGCAGAGTACAACAGTGCATGGGCTGTCCTTGTGCGAGTCGTCGCTATCGATAGTCGTTGAACTCTGAATTAGAAGGTAGCCAAAGGGTACCACTCGGATTGACTACCACGATCCACGATTTCTGCAAACAATCACGCTTCTGCTGCCTCGCATCTTTTGATTGAGCTCGTAGTATCCACTGTCTCACGGGTATCATGTCACGGTCATCGTCAGTCAATGTCGGCCAAAAAGGCTCCAATGGTGCCAACGGCACTCAAGCATCATCAGTAGTATGTCAATGGTTCCTCTAATGGTTGAGGACCTGAAACAAGCTGACCTCCTGTTTGCCTTCTTGAAAAGATGCAAAAAGTGACCAGGTATATCCCCACCAAGGATGACTTGGGCAAAACCTTCACCTATTTACGACTTCTCTTCTCTTTGGACTACACAATAGCCGACGTTCTACTCATAACTGGGGGCTTGTTTTTCGCTATTTGCGCCGGTATTCCTTTCCCTCTTCTCGGTATCGTCTTCGGGGACCTGATCAACGACCTGAACACGGTGACTTGCAATTCCTCGGACCGCGCTTCTGCGGACCTCTCCTCGGCAGTGCGGACAAAGGTGTTGTATGTCATCTACATCACGATCGCAAACTTTTGCTTCATCTACGCCCACAGCACATGCTGGTGTTTTGTGAGTGAGCGCCTGGCGCGCCGCTACCGCCGCCGTTACTTTGAGAGTATTATCAAACAGGAGGCCAACTTCATCGAATCACTTCCTTCGGGTGACGTTGTTTCGCGTCTGGTCAGCGACATTGAACTTGTGCAGTCCGGCACATCGGAGAAAGTGGGTCTCGTCATCTCAACCCTATCGTACTTTGTGGCCGCCTATGTGGTTGCCTTCATCAAAGTGCCCAAGATTGCAGGCATGCTAGTGTCTGTGGTTCCCTGTTTCTTCTTGATGGCACTTGTTGGGGGGCATTACATCAAGAAATTTGCGGGTCGTCTGGCCGAGAAGGTCAATGCGGCCACATCCATAGCTTCCTCCAGTCTGTCGCATCTGACACTCGTTCATGCCTTCAATGCGAACGACCGACTCGAGAAGCGTTTCGCCGGCTACCTCTCACAAGCGAGGAAAGATGCCGTCAGAAAAGCCACTACTCACGCGGCACAATTGGGCTGTCTCTACTTCATCGCCTATTCCGCCAACGCTCTGGCATTCTGGGAAGGATCTCAGATGATTTCAAAATCGGTGGCTGACGGAAGCTCCGGAGCCTCTGTGGGTGCGGTCTACACCGTTATCTTCGTCCTTATCGACGCCTCATTCATTCTCAGTCAGGTTGCACCCTTCATTCACGTCTTCGCCTCGGCTGCAGGTGCTTCAGAGAGACTTTTGCAGGTGATCAACAGGCCTTCTGCCATTGATGGAACGTCTGATTCAGGAGACAAGACAGCCGCATTCGGTGAAGAGGATATTCGCTTTCAGGATGTCCACTTCACGTATCCCTCGCGCCCGGATGTTCCAGTTCTACAAGGAGTGACGTTCAACATCCCCCCCAAAAAGCATACAGCCATTGTGGGTCCTTCTGGCGGTGGAAAGTCTACAGTTGTTGCGCTTCTAGAGCGATTCTACGATCCCGGTTCAGGGGGTGTCCTGATCGGCGACAAAAACTTCCGAGACATCAATGTTAGATACCTGCGTGGAAATATCGGTTTTGTACAACAGGAACCTTCGTTGCTGGATCGTACCATTCTGGAAAATATTGCATATGGCTTGGTCTCGTCTGCGGTGGAGCGGCATCAGCGACTAGCCCCCTTCATCCTCGACTCGAGTCTGCCCGATCTTGCCCAAAAAATCCGAGGAGGCGTCTCAGAGAAGGAAGCGCTCCGCGAGTATGATAACTGTGTGTCCGAGATTGTGGATTTGGTGAAAGACGCAGCTGCCAATGCGAATGCGCTGGGCTTTATTGAAGCTTTGCCGTATGGTCTCGCCACAAACGTAGGTACAGCAGGGAACCAGCTGAGCGGTGGTCAGAAGCAACGAATTGCTCTCGCCCGTGCCCTGGTTCGGGAACCATGCTTGTTGATTTTGGATGAGGCAACTGCGGCGCTTGATTCGACGAGTGAGCAGCTTATCCAGGCCGCACTGAACAAGGTATCCGAGCGAGTTACCACCGTATCAATCGCCCACCGGCTGGCGACAGCCAAAAACGCGCATAAGATCGTCGTGGTCCAGAGTGGCCGTGTTACGGAGGAAGGATCCCACATGGAGTTGGTTTCTCAGGGAGGGGTCTACGCAGAGATGGTGCGGCTTCAGAACCTGGGAAAGCTAAGTGTAGAAGACAGAGTAATCTCGGGAGACATGATCAGTGAACTGAACGCGACACCGGAAACACGACAGTTCTTCGACGAAAAACAAGCTCTCGCCGACGTTAACGGGTCAGACGTCACGGAGGACACGGTTGTTGCTGACACTCCGCCGGAATCTCGAGATGGAAGTGAGGAGGAGGAGGAGGAGGAGGAGGAAAGGAAAACGAAAAAGAAAAGAACACGGTCTGGGTGGTTCGTCACACAGTACACGGTCGCCCTGATCCGTCCCAACTTGCATTGGATTATGCTAGGCCTTGCCATGTCTGTCATTATCGGCGGCAGCTACTCGGCAGAGGCTATTGTATTTGGTCACACGGTTGGAAGCTTGAGTCCTTGCAGGTCGGCTGAAGCCATCAGCCATGACGGCAATCTCTACGGATTGCTTTTCTTCATCCTCGCTCTGGTGGAGTTTGGCGCGAATGTGGTGGGTGGCTGTGCTTTCGGCTGGGCTGCCGATAAAGTGTTGTATCGGATTCGAGTGCTGTCTTTACGCTCGCTACTGGGCCAAACCATGAAGTGGCACCAATCGGAGGATCGCACTCCTGGGACTTTGCTCACATACATCACTGGTGACGCATCCGCGTTGGGAGGCATTACTGGCACAACCATAGGGCTCCTCCTGGCGACTGCCGTCAACCTGATAGCGGGTCTGGTGATCTCGTTCGCAATTGCTTGGAAGATCACGATTGTATTGTTTCCAACAATTCCAGTCCTGCTGGTGTCGGGCATGATGAAGCTCCGGGTGCAAAAGCAACTTGCCGAACGTCATCAAAAGGCGTTTGCGAAAGCTACAGCGGTCACCATCGAGGCCGTCGACAACATCCGCGCAGTTTCTGCGTTCTCGCTGGAGAAGCAATCGTACCAGGTTTACGGTCGTGCACTTCAAGGTCCCTACCGGGCTACCATCAAAGCCACGTTTCACGGGAATGCATGGTTAGCACTGGCATTTAGCATCAGCAACTTGGTCTATGCCCTGGCGTACTGGTGGGGGTCGAAACAGATCGCCGAGGGTCGCTATTCCCAGACGCAATTTTTCATTGTCATGCCGGCTCTCTTGTTCAGCACGCAGTCTTGTGGGCAGATGTTCGCCCTTGCGCCCGATATCTCGAAGGCCGGGGTGGCTTCGTCGAATATCGTCGAACTGCTGACGACTCGTTCGGCAGAGGATGAAGTGACACCTGGATCTTCGCACAGCATCCAGCCTTCCAGCAGCCTTCTCGAGGAGAAAGCCGCAGTGCAGGACATTGAGGCACAGGAATATGCTCGCTCCGCACGGCAACGGGCCGCTGAAAGGGGTGGGATGGGCGCCCAACTGCGCGACGTCCATTTTACATATCCGCATCGCCCCGAACGGCCGGTCTTGAAGGGTCTCAATATTGACATCAAACCAGGCCAGTTTTGCGCGCTAGTGGGGCCTAGCGGATCAGGCAAATCGACCACGTTTGCCATGCTGGAGAGGTTTTACCGGCCTAATGCAGGGGCAGTGGTCATTGACGGTGTGGACGTCACTCGTCAGGTTGGGACAGAGTTCCGCGATGATATCGCACTGGTTCCTCAGGAGAACGTTCTCTTCGAGGGAACTGTTGCCTTCAACATTGGACTTGGCGCGTGCCCGGGCCACGAGCCCACTCAAGAGGAGATCGAGGAGGCATGCCGCATGGCCAACATCCACGATGTCATCATGACTCTGCCCCAGGGGTATCAGACGATGTGCAGCCATGATGGCAAGCAATTTTCGGGTGGACAGCGCCAGCGACTGTCGATTGCCCGCGCACTGGTGCGCAAGCCTCGCATGTTGCTGCTGGACGAGTCGACAAGCGCGCTAGACGTGGAGTCGGAGAAGCGAATCCAGGAAGCTCTGGCGACCCTGGCAGGAAGGACCACAGTTGTAGCCATCGCTCATCGACTGAATACCATTCACCGGGCCGATCAGATCTTCTTGATCGAAGACGGCCGATGCGCTGAGCAAGGTACACACCAGGAGCTGATCCAGCGGAGTGAGACATACCGGACGAGTGTGATCCACCAGTCGCTGGAGACTTGAAACCGTCGCTAAATAAAAGGGACATGGAAAGAAGCTTATCTATATAGTACTCCGTATATACTCTCATGTCTTTTGGTTGAACTGTGGGACACTGGTTGAATGGTTGTAACGACCGGTGGAAAGTCATATATCCCTTTTAATATCATTGATAATCTGACATCCTAGACATCAGGCAATATAGAGCGATTTGGGAGGCTGGAGTTGTTTCATAACCAGAGTACAACCATGGGCCTCAGTCTCGGTTATGTCGTGGACGAATCTGGTCTTTTCAGACGGAGGTCAGAGCGGGCGGCACAGCTGAAGCGGCTGTTTCAGGATTGTCAGAGAACAGCCTAGATGATGATACTAGATAGATATGATCATCTTTGATTTACCCACTTGGCAGCCATCTCGGGCTCTAGATAGCTATTAGATCACGATTCTCGCGATGCAGTCATACTATCTAATGTCCAAGATCTTGTGTCGTTGAATTGTGAGGTGAATTTCCCTCTACTCCATATAGATAGACAGTCCGGTACTCCGTACAGAGTAGAGAGAAAAAATGATAGTATCTGGTAACGTTTTAAATGGTGCCCTGCTGGAGTGGGTGATGGACTGTCATATTTATAGCATCACCCGGAACAATCGTAGACTGATTGAGAGTTTCATCCATCTGATGTGGTTGACATTAATAGGATTCTGGATAGAATGATCCAGTTCCAACAATGTCTTCTATTATTATCGCTTTGAATAGAGGATTAGCAAGAGACCAGTAGGAGGGCGTAGGTTGTAGCAATAACAGAGATGCCTCACCTCAATTATTATTTCCTCATTATTACATCCCTTTGCTTTTCTGTCTGTATCCAACCAACCTCCTGTCTGTCTGTCTACCTTCTTTCGTTCCTCGCTCCCTCCCTCCCTCTATCTGCCTTTTCTTTTTCTGATCTTTGCATCAATATTACCATCCTTTTATTTATTGTAGTACCTGATTCTCCGCCCACGTGTTTACTCTCAAAATTCGAGGACATTCTCATTCCGTGTTTCTGCTGGTCGATACACCGCCCGAGTTTATCTGAAACAATCCCCCAGAGAGTGTCTATCTACGTCTGTTCTCCCTGAACCAACAACAACAACACTTTGCTTCGCTTCAGCTGAGGTAGACTATCTGGTCTATCTACTATCTTTCCATCTGTCTGTCTATTCTAATTCTCCTCGCCGTGCATGTTTCGTCTTGATTTCTTTTCTTATTCGGTTTGTTTACCCCCCCTTTACACCTCTACCTCTGCACTGTAAGTTTGTTCTCGTATCACCGGCCCAATTCCTTTTTCCGTCCCCCCTCTCCGGGGTAGATTGCCCCCCCCTGTCCATCCGCTCTCTTGTTCATTTGCGGGACACAGGTCAGAGATCTAAGGCAGGGCCTTGTCTGCATGGGAGGCCCTGAGCTTAGTCTGGGGTACGTGCGTCTGAGATATGCTTTACAACTCATCCTCTATCTAGACTACTGCCTTCCCCGGCTGAATAGTGGTCGTCGTTCCTGAGCTGACATTTCTCCCGCTTCCCAGGGCGCATGCATAACGAGCCATTCCTTCCGTTTCCCTCTATCCCTGATAAATAGCGTGTCGTTTGCGAGAACCTTGCCATCGTTGCCACGGCGAAATTATTCATGATTTTCTGATTTAGTATAATCTACAGCCCGTGGTTTGGAGTCGGTTGAGTCTGGTGATATTGGCCCCTCCTAATTGATCCTGCCCGATTCGCTTGGTTTACCGTCAGCCTGTTCAACTGTACCCCAAGCGCACCATCAGGCTTGTCTTGCCCATTTGCGACAGATTTCGTGTCGGATGCTCTAGCCGCACTTGACCACTTGATTGCCTCCCTACGATTGCGCATATAACGTCGAAGGCGCGCCACTGGCGTGTGTCTTGAGTCTGCCGCCTCCTGATATCCCGGAGACGCTTTCTGCATCACGCTTTATACCATCCCTTGTAAGCGTCGCTTGAGTGCCAAGGTGCAAGATGGACTCTCCAGGCATGTTTCCGGAATCTCCTATGGAACAGGACGATGTTCCCTTCCCCTGTAAGGGTTGCGGAGAGGTATGCGCGAATTCCATTCGAACTAGGGACAATTTTCGCGCGCTAATTTCTACTTTTCACCGGACAGATTCTCGAGGAGGGCAAGGCTTTTGAACTTGGTGAGTTGCATTGGCCTACATGGCTGCCCATCATGGACGAGAACTTCGCTGACAGCTTCAATCTCCGTAGCGGGCAACCGATGGCATATCGAATGCTTTTGCTGCAGCACATGCGGCACGCTTCTCGACTCGGACGCACACCTACTGCTTCTCGGAGACGGATCGTTGATCTGCAGCAATTGTACTTACAGCTGTAGCTCATGTGGAAACAAGATTGAAGACTTGGCCATTCTGACGGGTGAACAAGCCTTCTGCGCTCAGTGCTTCCGCTGCCGAAACTGCAAGAGGAAAATTGAGAATTTGCGCTATGCTCGAACGTCCCAGGGTATCTTCTGTATGGACTGCCATGAATCGCTAATGCAACGCCGGAGGAAAAAGAAGGCCGGTGTACCCACTAGTAAAAAGCAAGCGCCGGGCGTGAAGCTTGACAAATCGTTGCCCTCTCTTCCGCCAGAAGAACCTGACTCGCATCGCCCAACAGATGAGTCGATCGTCGATCATTATCTGGATGATGCAACCTCCCGTGGGGCAGCATCCGCGCCGGACGGTGGGAGGAATGAGCGCCCTCCCATTTCTCGCCAGCACACTGATAACCAAGGTAAGCTCATGACTCGAAGATGTGAATCCCAGGCTCCGGTCCACTGACTTTGCGTGCCAGCAGATAATTTGATTCTCCCCTCGAGCACCTACCGAAGCAACCGTCACTCGGTCGTACCACGCGAAGCGGAATCCGACAGCGGAGGAGAATTCCTCATACCTGTCGCATTTGACCCCTCGGAAGAAGGACGGTCCTCGCGCACTCAGTCACCTCCCACGGCTCAAGGCCAGCATCCACCGTCTGGAAGCGCATCCCCCCATATCGCGTACCAGGAAAGAGGACGGGAACGGACCGACGTTGACTCCGGTCGCTGGCGCGGAGACGATGTCACTGCCAGTGCAAACGGGTCACCTCGTTCTACTCATGATCTTCAGCAGGGCACATCAAACCGGAACTCCAGAGCTGATCTACCCATCAATCTCAAGGAAGCCAGCACCTTCTCCACACCGAGTCCTGAGTCCACCAAGTCATCGAGCGCCCAATTCAAGGACAGTTCAACCGTCGAGTCTGGAAGGTCGAGAACCCTGGATAGCTCCGTGACCGCCCCATCTCGTCCGTCGAACGAGATTCGTGAGCTGCATGAGAAGGGCGGGTCGGTGGATTCTATACGCTCATTCCCGTCTCCAAGCAACATGCAACCTCATCCGAAGCGAGGGGATTCGTTGGAAAAACGACACCACCAGATTCCCCGAAAAGAACTCGGACCTCGACCGCCCTCCGTCGCTCAAAATGAGGACGGAATTGACCAGCCCACAGAGCAAACGGTCTCCAGGAAGAACACGTCGAAAGTTGGCGAGCCGCCTCGTACTCCCCGCAGTGATGCTAATGCGGAGCCGTCCCAGCGACATGCCCGTCATGGCTCGGTTAGCACTCTGCAATCGGACACTCACCGTCCAGGGTCGCCGTCGTTGTTGCGGTACATCGCTGGGGGCGATTTCTCCATGGAAGAAGATATGGCTCGGATCATGGGATCAGACGAATCGCATGCTGCCCAGAACAGCGAATCCTTTTTGCGCCGCGTATCGAACTCGGTGCGCCATGGCCGAAGCTTCAGCGACAAGGGCTCTCGCATCCCCAAAGATGCCAAGTGGCCCAAATCCCCCGTCAATGGTACCACACCCGTTCTCGATGCCGGCAGCCCCTCAGGCTCCCCGGAGACGTCACGCTCAGAAGAAGTGGCGTGGCTCCGAAGCGAACTGCGCAAAGAGCGCCAGCGTGTCTTGGAGAAGGAACAGAAGATTGCGGAAATGGAAGCTGTTCTCAACGCGACGGCCGACGTCAAGCAGGTGAACACGGAGCTCAACGAGAAGCGGTCCACGATGGTGGTTCTGGATGCGAAAAAGGAGATTGTCATGCGAGAACTTTCCGTCTTGACCGATCACTTGGAAGCTGAGAAACGTGGCGCCAGCGGGCCTCTTGACATTGGAAAGATTACCAGCAAGGTCCTGCGTGACTTTGTCGAGTCACTCCACAAGCTAAAGGAGTCGTTTGCACCACAGATCGAGGAGCTGGTTCAGAAGCGCAACGACGCAGCGGAAGAGCTTGCCAATTTGAACCGTATGAAGGACAAGAGCTTTCAGGAGTTCGAGCAGCTGTCCTCCAAGAATGCTCAGTTGGCCGAACTGAACAATCAGCTGGTGCATCAGATTCAAGAGCTCTACAAGGCCAATTCGGTCGAAGGCAACCGCGGTGCCAATGGCCTTGGCATCTACTCCCACGGCAAGGAGAAGTCCCTGTCCGCCATTGATGCATTGAAGGCCGCCAACAATGATCTTGCTGCCTCCGTGTCTACTGCCAATCTGTCCGAGGAAGCTGAACCGGCCACCGTCGTTCCTGGACCGCAGGTCGTTAGTATCCGCAAGGGACAACCTCGCAAGTTCAACTGGAAGAAGGGTGGGCAGAACGTCGCCAAGGGCGTTACAAAGGGTATCAAAGGCGCTTTCATGTCAAGCGACAGCAATGCCGCTCAAGATGCCAGCCCCGGTCTCCCACGTTCGCAGACCCAAGACCCTAGTCGGCAAGGTTTCGGATTCTTTGGAAATCAGAAAAACAAGCAAGCTGGAACTCGAATGCCTCAAACTGATAGTGTTCCGGCTCTAGCAGATCTCGCTCCGACTGGTACGTATTGATGTCTTGAAAGGTCTCTCTGACAGTGAGCTAATCTTGTAGCAGCCCTATTTGGTACCGATTTGGAGCAGCGCATGGAGCATGAAAAGAGCATCATTCCTGCAA